GCTAGCATGATCAATTGATCACCACCTAACATCCTTGAAGGACCATTGCCATAACAGTTATATCCTTGGTCGGTGACATTGTTGGAGTGGCGATATCAAGTTCATGTCTATTAGTTTATTATTTTGTATGTGTTTTTTTTTAATACTTTGCCTTTGTGTCGTATATCACTATTTTAAAGCCTAGTTGTTCTTTAAACATTGTAACAAATTATTTATTGATTGTTCCACTAGGACTTTGCAATGAACCTTGATTATTACCCGTACTTAAGAAATCAGATGAGAGATGAGTCTCCATTGCGCAACGATTGTGTGAGATTTGTTAGACTATTCCACGAGATTTGTGGAAATGTTTGTATATAGTAGTTTATTGAATTAACCCTTTATTTTGTCATATTATATTAAGCATGCATAATTCAATTTTTACTGTAGGTTCCATATGAATATATTAATAAATGGACGCCTCCCTTGAAAAAAAAAAATATGGTCTTAAGGAGTAGCAATATATTTATCACACACCATTGAAAAATAAAAATTGTACTTGATTCGTTTTAAACAACCAAATTACTGATTATTTACTTGATTTAATTCGATTTGTATGAGCATTTACTCATTCTAATAGAAATATAAGATTTGTATCTTCGCAAAAGCTAGTTCGAAATATTCACACCTTACAAAATCATACTAAATTCGCATGTTGAACAAATCAAATCACTCAATACTCGATATATACAAATCAAATCGAACTAGAAAACATTCTGAATAAAAGTTCAAATCAAACTGGACAACATCTAAACAAAAAAGTTGTGTTTTATTTTTATGATTTAAAAAACCACAAAAACACTATACGAACAAGGTTTTATGTCACATCTTTTACAATTTACACTACCATCATACGGATCACGAAATGGACCTTAGTCAACCAAGTTAGGGCCTATTCCGATTTACTGAAAACAACTGAATTGAAGTGATTGGGGCTGAACTGAATTGAACTGAATAGAGATGAAATGAATTGTTTATGAGAGAAGGAAATTAGGAATTGAAGTGAACTGAACTGATTGGAGTTGAACTAAACTGAAATTAAGCTGAACAGATGTAATACTCCGTATTTTTATAATATTTTTATACTTATAAATTATTTATTTATTTATTTATTTTATTTATTTTTATAAATTAAAATGATTCATTTCGTTTTAAAAGAAATTAATTATTTAAATATTATGTAAGTGTGCATAAAATAATATGGGTCATTAATTGAGGCAATAAAAATGTTTTGAATTGGGTTATCTTATTTAAATAGTTGGATTAACTTGTTGGGAAATTGAAGACACTTAAGAACCCAACAAGTTGGCCCCAAAGGAAGAAGTCAAGAGGGAGTAGGATTTAGTAATGGCAGTTTTGTAATTATGAGTTTTCGTTTTAAAAGGGAAATATAAATACTTCAAAACCTAAAAAATTTCACTCTTTATTTTCTCTCTCCTTTTTCTTCTTATTTTTCCTCTCTTTTCCCACACCTCTCTCTCCTCTTCCCCTTCACGCACGCAGACCATTGCCGCCACCGGCGAGCAGCAGCAACACCGGCGGCTGCAGTAGTGCGCCCCTCTTCTCTCTCTCCTTTGGTTTTTGCGGCTTGGTAGTGTTATAAAAATAATAAATAAATAAATAAATAAAACTCTTTTTCTCTTCCTAATTTAATTTTATTGTTTTTATTAATTTAAAGTATAATTTTGATTATGTTTTGGTATTGATGTTGGGTATTTGATGTTGTTAAATTATTTATATAATTTTCAGATTTTTATTCAATCAAAAACCCCAATTTACAAACCCTAGAATTTGGGAATTTAATGTTTATGGTTAGGGTTTGATCCTAGGTTATTGTTGTTGTTTAATTAATGATTTAAACATATTTTTAATGAGTTTAAAGCCCTCAAGTTAATGCTGAAATTTATCTATGCACACTACTTTTAATTATTGAGTTAGGGTTTGATTACCCATAAAAGGAAAAAAGGTTTTAATGATTTAAATATGATTTCCTAGTCTATTAGTGATGTTTTATATTAAATAAGTATGCTGGAATTTTATTTAAGTCATAAAAATTAAGTCTTTTTGAAAGGATTTGAAGTATCCACTTAAAGAAAAGGTTTTATGGCTTTAACGCCATTAAATTGGGTTAATTAGTAGGCTAAATTAGAAAATAACACCCAATAAAAACTCCGATTTTGATAATAACACCTCAAAAAAAAAAGTTTTATTATAACACCACCAAAAATCCCAAAATTTTGGTTTCACCACCCACTAACGGATTTTTGGATGGAAACTGTTAGTGGGGCCACTAGGGACACGTGTCAATAAGGTGTTGGCTTAAAAAAAAGATAAATAAAAAAAAGTAAAATTAAAAAAAAAAACCCTAAAACCTAACCGAGCCACCAGCCCCACCACCGCCGGCCGTCACTCCACCGTCGGAGACCTCCACTGCCGCCGGAACCCCTTCCTTCACCAGCGAAATCACCGGCCATCACCCCTACCGACATCATCCCCCCACAGATCCCACCAATCAATGGAAACCACCACCATAAACCGGCAAAAACAACCAATTCCGTTCACCTCCACCGCGAAATCGGTAGATCTGGGGCTTCTAAGGTCGATTTTCGGCCGGTTTGAAGGTGAGGGGTAATTCCAGGGGTAGTTTTCGGCGAGGGGGAGAACGGGCTAGGTGGTTTTTGCGGGGGGGTTGTGGTGGGTGGGGGTGATTTTTCAGGGAGAGGGAAGGGGAAGGGGATTTGCGGGGGTGGGGGGGGCTAATGTCGGTGGGGGTGATGGTCGGTGATTCCGCTGGTGAAACTTCTTCGGTGGTGGAGTCTCGGCCGCCGGTGGTGGGGCTGGTGGCTAGGTTAGGGTTTAGGGATTTTTTTTTAATTTTCTTTTTTTAAAACCAATAAACAACTAACACGTGTCCCTAGTGGGCCCCACTAACGGTTTCCATCAAAAAATCCGTTAGTGGGTGGTGAAACCAAAATTTTGGGATTTTTGGTGGTGTTATAATAATTTTTTTTTTCGAGGTGTTATTATCAAAATCGGGGTTTTTATTGGGTGTTATTTTCTAATTTTGCCTAATTAGTAAGGTTTAAAGAGTATTATAGTTGCTGAAAATTTGTGTGAATAGTAAATTAATTATAATTATGTATTCTTATTTGTGGGAAGCTTCGAGCTAGGTGATTAGTGAGTGTGGCCGAATTTAGGTATTATTCAAGATATGTATGTGCACAAGAATATTTGTGTATGCGTAGCAACGTGCTAGGATTTGTAAAGTACGATTTAAGTGATGAATTAGTAACATGTTTGGTTGATTATATACTTGGAATTGATGTTGGTTGAGCATGATTTGTTATGCAAGTATGTGAATATGTTATTTTGAGGCATGATACAAATTGAATATGTATGAATCATGGAAGTATGTTTTATTTTCAAATATTAAGAAGGCATGTATTTAATAAGCAGGGCTTATATATGAATTAAAGAGTTAAAGTTAGAATTATTGATCATGATTCATGAGTTTATTTCTTACCCATTTATTTTTGGTGTTGAGTTAAGAAGTTAGTTATATATTTACTCACTCATGTAAGTTGAGTTTGAGTCAAGGAAGTTTAGTAGTGCATTTTAAGCACCAAGGTAGTAATCGTGCAATTTTATGCACAAAATTAGGCAAGAAATCTTAACTAAAATAAATAGTATGTGCTCACTAATTAATTCAAGAATGAATTGGAAGTATGTATTGATTGTTATTATGTTTGTTCTTAATTGATTGGTTTGAGTCATCACATGTTAAATTGGTAAATCATGTAAAGTGTAAAGTGTAAGAGGATACGCACCAAAACTCTTGGAACGTATTTACCTTGAATATGAACATGTGGGGGGAGTTATGGGGTTTTATATTTAACCATAGCTTCTACAGGGGTACTAGATGCTATACTTTCTTTTATTATTATTAATGCGTTGGAATTATGTCACAAAGTGACATAGTAGGTGCCAATTGGGGTAGCTTCCTGATTGGAAGCTCAATATTTAAATGGGCTATTTTCAAGGAAGGAAACCAGTTCGATGCGTAATACAAAATTAATATTAACAATTAATATTGCTAGTTATGAGTCAAAGGTAAGTTGACTTGTGATTGTGTGGCGAGCATGTTTTAATTTTCATGCTAGGATATTCATGTTAGTGTAGTACATATGTACTCAGCTTTTGTTGATTCGTACTTTTGTGATTGTGTTTGTGTTTGTGTTTGATTTTCCTTTTGATAGACCCTACTATGACCCATTTATATGGTGAGTAGAGGGTTGAATAAAGGGGAAATAACAGGTATTAACATTATTATGTTTGTTTTTAATTGGTTTTTAAGAAAGGCCATGTTTGAATTGGTTCCAACTTGTAAATATTTTATTCTACTTTTGTTTTGAAGTTGTGAACTCAAGTTTTATTTTTGAAAGTTGGTTTTTATGTTTTAGACTTCCGCTGTGAGACTTTGAAAATTTGCCGGTGGCGGTAATATTTTGATTATTTCCTAAAAAGGGTTTTATCTAGAGTAAAATGTGTATTTTTAAGGAAGAAAACTTCCAGAGTATTACAGAACAGACCTTTAGGCCTTGTTTGGTTTACCTTATTTTTACTGATCTGGTCTGGTCTGATCTGATTGTCTAATTTGACCAAATTTTGACCTTAAGTGTATGATAATCTATAAGGAAAAAATATATCAAGTGAGATTCTGTTAGATTCGTAATAATGTGTAGTTTATAAATATGTAATTTTCACAATTTTTTTCATTATAAAATTAAGAATATTTAGCGATAAAAAATCGCACATAAAATGATGTTCTGATCTGAACTTATTTTTTCTGATCTGAATTTATTTCTGAAATAAGTAAAAATAAGTTGAACTAAATAATTAGTCGACATCGGGTCTTATGGGAGGCTTCGGGCGGGAAACCAATGATACATTGACACACTCATTGACTTGGACATACAATGTCTTTTTCTAATTCTCTCTCACTTGGTCTCTCTCATCACACTCACTTAAAAACTTCCATGCGAAGGAAATGACTAAGACCAAATACTGTGAAACATTCTCAAATTCACAACAAAGTTTCGCCCTTTTTCGGCGATTTTCCTTCTCCATTCTATCTCCTCAATGAAACCCTATTTCTTAAGCATTGTATTTTGATCAACTCTAATTACCAGGTGAATTCCTCTTTTGATTTACAATCTACTTTTTTTTTTCTTGTTCTTGAATGCTACAATAGTCCAATTACACTTCCTGTTTAGATGTTTGGATTTTTATTTTGTGGGTATGTTTTTTTTTATGACCTTTCTATTGTTGAATGTCCAGAATTTATGAATTTAATTTTAGACACAAATTTGTGAATTTGGTGAAAATTTGATCATGGGATTTTCTTAACTTAGTTTTTTTTTTGGAGTAATTATGTTTCTTGCTTTCTTCCTGACTTTTCAATTGATTTATTTCCAATTTTATGTTTAATGTGTGAAAGAAAAGTTAATTATTTGGGTTTTTGATGTATGTATCCCAACATTTGTATTGGGTCTAATGCGTCAGATTGTCGAAATTGGGGCATTCTTGATTTGATTAGTGTATTAACTATTAAGCATAACTTGTTGCCATTTTTGACTTTTACGTTGCTTAATTATTCATGAAAACGTTGCTAAATAGAGTCATCCATATTTATGTGTGTTTTATTTATGAGGGGCTTTGTAACAGATAACATACATAGGGTGAATACGAAATCTTCTTTATGTCAGATAATTACTATGTTTCCTGGCTTCCTGCTTACTGATGTTATGCTTCTTGGATAACATCCTCTGTTTGGTTATTGGCTCAAATCAAATTACAGGATCATAAATGTACTGTGATGCCATTAGTCACATTCAGTTAAATTTTCACCAATTAGCATTTTCAAGTGGAGTTATATACTAAGTATGTTATAAGATAGTCTATCAAGTGGAGTATTTTATTTAATAAATTCATTCAGTTAATGTAGGTTGATTGATGTAATCCTTGCTTCCAAATGTAGAAGACCAGTGAATATTGATATGATGTGTCGTCTTCTCTTGGGATCCTTAAATTGTTAGTGATCAGTAGTTATTCAAGTGAATATTGTTGCAGCTTCTCTTTCTGACAGCTATATTGGATTCTCTGTAGTCTCTAGCACTAACTAGCAAAATAAGTGTCTTTGGCGCTGTATTAGTGTCATTTTCCCCTTAAATGTTAAGTTGAGAAACAAGGTCATTGGATAGAAAGACATTTTCACTCGTATTTTGCTGTTCAGCATCTTGTACTAGCCATCCTTTAGAAGTGTTTCTTCTTGCTAAGATTCTGATAAAGCTTGCATGTATTACTTCTTTTGTGCTTGGTGAGTAACTGCATATAACATATAAATCACTTGATTACACTTGACCAAGGTCTCAACTCCTTCCAAACTGAGAAAGACCATCTTGTGGCACGTGTATAATGTTGGCTATGGATTCTGGTGGAATATGTTTCCTTTTGCTTATTTTGTGAAAGCGTCATGCAAATAGCCTCTTGAACATGATTTATGTGAAAAGCTTTTAATCAATAATATAATTATTGAGGTTTAGAATACTCCGCAGTTGCTATTGTAGAAATGTTATGCCCTAGGCTTGAATGTAGTACCTGCAGTTGTGGTACTATTCATGCTGATAAGATTTGTGGGGAAAGTACATGCCAAGGTGAAGCTTTTAGTGTTTGTAGATGCAAATTTCGTATGCTTTTTAATTAATTAACTTTCCTGTTTGGTGGATGTATCTATCATTCTATCTTAATTATTTTAAAAAGGGATATACATTGATTTGGTTTCTTTTGAGTTATTGCAGGGGAAAAAGTCTGTTATTTGGGCAAAATGGGATCAGAAAATACTGAAAAAGGTTCAGTGGTTACTCAACTCAGTTTTGGTGGGTTTGATAATGACGTCACTGCCAAAATGTTTGCGGATTACATCGAGAATGAAATGGGGGTACAAGTTTGGAGGTGTAGATTGAAGAAGTCTTGGACTCCTCCAGAGTCATATCCAGACTTCCAAATTCAAAGTATTGAAGATTTGGTTAATACCGATGATTTTGAGAAGGTGGAGCCCCACGCTTTTGTTCATTTCGCTTCCCCTGAATCAGTACGCTATATTTTGGATGTTGCGGGGGGAAATGATCTTACTTTGTTCGGGAAAGTGCTCAAGGTTACATTAGGTCCTATGAATCCCTTTCGTATTAATCAGATGAGGAGAACGACTACTCCATTTAAGCTGACAGATGTTCGTGTTGATATTGGGACTCTTGTTAGTCGGGATGAGATGATTGTTGGCTGGAAAGGACCTTCTGCTGGGGTAGATTTCCTTGTCGATCCTTTTGATGCAACCTGCAGGCTCAGCTTCACAAAAAAGACAGTTTTCGCATTCAAAGACGAAAGAAAGAATGCTGTTATTAACTGTGATTTCAAAGTTGAATTTTTGGCCAGGGAGATTAATGAGATTAAACGATATACAGATCGTTCAGGACTGATTATCTTTTTTCAGCTTTCTTCTTCTCCCTTGCTCTTCTACCGTACTGCTGATGATGATATCTTTGAGTCTGTTCCATTTAGCTTGTTGGATGATGATGATCCTTGGATAAGGACTACAGATTTCACGCCCAGTGGGATTTTTGGTAGGTGTAATTCATACCGGATTTCAGTTCCACCCCGTAATGGTCCGAAGTTAGAGAGAGCTATTAATTATCTTATAGAACGACGGGTCCCAGTTGAGCATCCGAGACTGCCACTTAGGGTCAGGGATGAACCTAGTTTTGGTGTGCAGATATCCGATCCTTTTTTCTGTGTCCAGCATGAAGAAGGTGTGCCATTTGATGTAACCTTTATGCTGAATGCTACCGTGCATAAAGGAATCATAAATCAGCACCAGTTAACGGGGAAATTATTTGATTTGCTTAGAACTCAATCAGCAGAGGTCAACTTGGCTGCTTTAAGGCATATCTGTTCTTACAAGCGTCCTGTATTTGATGCTTGTAGAAGACTGAAACTAGTCCATGATTGGTTGCTAAAAAATCCTAGGCTGTTGAGGGACTCTACAAAATTGTCCGAAATTGTAGAAGTTAGGAGGTTGATCATAACCCCAACTAAGGCCTATTGTCTTCCACCTGATGTCGAACTTTCCAATCGAGTTCTTAGGCATTACAAAGATGTATCTGATCGCTTTCTAAGAGTAACCTTCATGGATGAAGGAATGAGAATGTTGAATGCTAATGTCCTTTCCTACTATGCTCCACCTATTGTGAAGATGATTACATCGAATACATATCCTCAAAGGACATTAATTTTCAAGAGGGTTAACATATTGTTAAAGAACGGATTTTACCTGTGTGGGAGGATGTACACCTTCTTAGCATTTTCTTCTAACCAGTTGAGGGATCGTTCTGCTTGGTTCTTTGCCGAAGACAAGAGGGACAAGAGGCTGACAGTGAATAGCATAAGGAACTGGATGGGAAAGTTCACCAACAGGAATGTTGCCAAGTGTGCAGCAAGAATGGGACAATGTTTCTCTTCCACCTACGCGACTGTTGAAATTTCATCAGATCAAGTTGACTCAGAGCTTCCAGATATCGAGAGGAATGGCTATGTTTTCTCTGATGGAATTGGCATCATATCACCAGATCTTGCCATTGAGGTTGCAGAAAAACTGCAACTAAAAGACAATCCACCTTGTGCATATCAGATCCGGTTTGGAGGTTGCAAAGGTGTTGTGGCATGCTGGCCGCCAAAGGATGACAAGATCAAAATTTATCTTCGTCCAAGTATGAATAAGTTTCAATCGAGGCACACAGTTGTTGAAGTCTGTTCATGGACAAGATTCCAACCAGGGTTTCTGAACCGACAAATAGTGACCTTGCTTTCAGCACTTGAGGTTCCTGATGAAGTGTTTTGGAGAATGCAGGAAACAATGATTGCGAAACTCAATCAGATGCTGGTGAATACCGATGTGGCTTTTGATGTCCTAACAGCTTCATGTGCCGAGCAAGGTAATACAGCAGCCATAATGTTAAGTGCTGGTTTTAAGCCACAAACTGAGCCTCATCTACGGGGCATGTTGTCTTGCATTAGGGCAGCACAGCTTGGGGACCTCAGAGAAAAGGCCAGAATATTTGTTCAGTTGGGTAGATGGCTGATGGGCTGTCTAGATGAAGCTGGTGTACTTGAACAAGGTCAATGCTTTGTACAGGTGTCAAACCCTTCCCTGGAAAACTGCTTCTCTAAACACGGTTCAAGGTTTTCAGAAGTGAAAAAGAATTTACAGATTATTAAGGGCTTGGTCATTGTTGCCAAAAATCCTTGTCTTCATCCAGGAGATATAAGGATTCTTGAGGCTGTAGATTGCCCAGATTTGCATCATCTTTTTGACTGTCTCATCTTTCCTCAAAAGGGGGAGAGACCACATACAAATGAAGCGTCAGGCAGCGATTTGGACGGGGATCTATACTTTGTTTCTTGGGATGAGAATCTTATCCCGCCTAGTAAGCGAAGCTGGATACCTATGGAGTATACACCTGCTGTGGTAAGGGAATTGCCTCGTCCGGTGAACCATCTGGTAATTATCTGCTCTTTTGTCTACTGCTTCATCTTTTGGTATGGTTAAAAGATGTCAGCATGAATTACCCAGAAAAAATGTTAGCATTTCGTGATTAGTAGCTGTTTTCTTCAACATAAAAGTGTTATGTGTCTCCTTGTTATAGCTATATAAATCAAGATGCCATTATCTATCCTTAAAAACTATTCTTGGTAGAAGTATTAAATCCTACTGCCGGAACTGGTTTGGGTTGGCTTTGGTACTTGCTCCTTTTCTCTTTTAAGTCACACCTTCCTTTTTAGGCTCACTGAATTCTTGTTTCCAGGAAATAATATCAGAAACATTTAAAAAATTTAAAGCATTATCAATGACATTGTTAGTACTTATATTGAAGCATGCAACAGCACAGTATAATGAAGTCCTTGAGTTTAGTGGTGCTTGGCGGATAACAAATTTGATCATTACTCATCTTTGTGACACTTACTGGTTCTGATCTTACCCAAGATAACTTGTTCTGAGTACTTATATTTGGTTTCTCATTTTTTTTTCTGCAGGACATAATAGAATTCTTCACAAGGAACATGGTTAATGAGAACTTAGGAACAATTTGCAATGCCCATGTAGTTCATGCTGACCTTACTCCATATGGAGCATTAGATGAAAATTGTCTCACATTAGCAGAACTCGCTGCATTGGCTGTGGATTTTCCAAAAACAGGCAAGGTGGTAACCATGCCTAACGAACTGAAACCCAAAATGTACCCCGATTTCATGGGAAAGCCTGAGAATCAATCATACAAGTCTGACAAGATCCTTGGAAGAATGTACAGGAGAATTTTGGATGCTTATGATGAAGACAGTTTCCTATCTCCTGAATTAAACATCAGCCCTAAGGATATAACTTATGATACAGATCTGGAGGTTCCAGGTTCAGAGGAATTCACAAATGAGGCATGGGGTCTCAAGTGCTCGTATGTAGGACAGCTTTGTGGCCTGCTAGAACAGTATAAAGTCAGCAATGAAGAGGAGATTGTAACCGGACATGTATGGTCCATGCCCAGATCCAGCAGTAAGAAGCAAGGAGAGCTCAAGGAAAAGCTCAAGCATGCTTACAGTTGTCTAAAGAGAGAGTTTAGGCAACATTTTGATAAACTTGGTGCTGATTTTGAGCACCTAGGTGATGAGGAGAAGAACTCAGTTTATGAGAAGAAGGCTTCAGCGTGGTATCAAGTGACTTATCATTCTGAATGGGTGAAAAAGTCAATGGAGTTGCTAGGCCCTGATGACGAAGAACAGGTGAATGTTATTCTAAGTTTTGCTTGGGTCCCTGCTGATTACCTCGCTCGTATCAAGGTGAGGAATGGAAGAGAAAAGGGAACTTTGGTTGCGTCGGAGAAGCCAATCAATTCTTTGGCGAATTACCTCGCAAAGTGCATGCAGATGTCCTGAATTCTCATGTCTGTTGATGTACATTGGCTGCACGGCCACTCTGCCATTAGTGTAAGTTACTCATTGACGTTCACTGCAATTCCTGATGTTTTTGTAGCTTGTCCTGTTGACGTACTCTATGTTGTAGCTTCCATGTTCGATCTTTTGGTACTGTTTAGGGTCTTTTTAAGATAGATTTGTCTTGTGCTCTTTGTTAATGGTAATTTCTGTATAACTTCTGTAGCTCAGAAGTTTGCTGCAACTGTGATTGGTTATAACTAAATGTTCAGACTGTTTCTCTCCTAAAACAGAAATCATGTACTGCAGGAAATCATGTTATATTGAGAAGTGGACATAATTTCCTGTTCTTGAAACAGGTATCATCAGACCCAATATCAGATTGGACTATCTGTAATACCCTATTAGATGCATTTATAGATTGTTTGAATGACTATTTCTTTCACTTTCATAGATTATTATGCTCTAGTGTATAAGCAAAACAATTACAGGTGTACATTAATAGTTAGTTGGTTACGCTTAGGGGCTGTAATACTTAAATTTGTAAAATCCTTACAAATAATGAAATGGCTGGTACTTGACACTGAAACTGGTTTTTTGCACAATCCTAGTCTGGTTCCCATTTACAGGACTTGGATGCAACAACCACCACCACCACCACTCAACTATCTATTCCAATTACAGTTCTATGATCCGATATGGACCCATTCCATTCTTGATTTAGAATAATTTGACCGAATGCCTAATCTTGTTCGTGAAAATCCATTATACCGACTGGATTCTCAAGCTCAAGAAGGTTTACTTGCTCTTGTTTGACAGTGACCTAGTTAGTTGTGCAGTTGCTTTAGAACGTAAGACCAAGCCCCCTATAAAATCTGATGCGTATTTTTGGTAGTTTATATTTAGTGGAAAGATTTGAGTGATTTTAATGGTGGAAATTTGAAGGATAGTCTTAGAAGGCAACGACTTCTAAGTTTGATCTTAGGAGCAACGATCCTAAAACCCTAGTTAACAAACTAGTTCGAACCTTAACAAAGTTCTCTTTGAGTTAAAACTCAACAATTTGATTTTTATTTCATAAACGTCTAACTAAAATTGTTGACATGTATCAAATATATATAGGAAAAATAAATCTAACTACTTGCCCTGCAAGCAAACTAAATAAAAGGCCCTAATAATTAATTAATGAACCAAGAGAGCCAACTAATTAATTAACACAATTTTGAAAGCCCAAGACCCCATACCTACTACTAAGAAAATAATAAAAACATTATTAAAAACTTACTTGTAAAATCTCTACTTTAAAAGTAAGGTAAAACCAAGAGAGTACTTAAATAAAACAATAAAAATAGTTATAAGAAAGGGGACTCGATTCACGTCAAAATCTGGATTGCCGCATTATTTGAGCAAATTATAAGAATCAGAGAATTTTATATTCTTTTTTTTTTGTCAGATTAAAGAAAGTGATGCTTTCATTATAAAAAGTACTCCATTTATTTATTTATTGTGGTCTGAAATTCTCTAATATTGCTTGATATTCAAAAGAGATAAGGTAGATGGACCTCTATTGAAATGTCATTGTAAGAATTGTAACTAATCTTAAATTTTTTAGTGATACATTAAAGACACTGCCTTTGAATCTACCTGATGCACATTTTGTATATCAGAGAAATTTATGGTCAAATTAAGAACTCAAGAGTATATCTTTCAGAGAAAGATACATTAAGAACTTAAGAGTATATCTTTCAGAGAAATTTATGGTCAAATTTCGACATAAAATTTTTTAAAATATCAATTATTCAGTAACAGTATCTCGAACAACTAAAGCAAAAGAAGTGGGCTGGGCTCCATCGAACTCATCCAAGTCCATTCATTTTCACTTTCTAAATCAAAGACCCTCTGTATTTCTTGAAAGAACAAACCCACTATATTAAAATCAAAGGCTGATAGTAGGGAATTTCAAAAGGATAAAATTTCTATAAATAGAAAAAAAACAACCCTTTTGGCTTTTTTCTTTCACTACTTTATATAAAATTCACACTTACATAACTTTACCATAATAAAATAAAATTCACACTATTTTTCCCCCTTTTTTTTTGTTTTTTTTTTTTTTGAATTGGACAACCTAATCTTTGAATAGGAAATCCTTAGCTATTCTCAACAGTGGTTCTACACAATTTGGAGCAAACTTTCTAGCAAACAAAAACGGGTCCCACCTATGACTCACTGACAAATCAGAGCCGTTGATCTTTACACTTCCATATCTTGGTCTACCTTCTCTCAGCCATCGGATCAACCCCGGGTCCACTTCCGTCGCATTGTAAGTCCGCGGGTGACCGTCATGCCGTCCTCGCCAGTTCACGTTAGTAAGTGTGGCGGGGACCACATTATGTGGGTCCACCATAGAGAGCAATGTAGGGAAGTAATTCTCTTCAGGGTAGCACGTGCCAAGCGTCACGCATGGTAGCCGAAACTTCCGCCATAATTTCACATCTTCCACCACCACACGCGCGTGGTGGCGCGTGAGAAACCAGAATTGTGACCCTATGCGGAAATCATGGAAACTTACCTCGGGAAGCATTGCGGACTCCCCACGCGCCGTCCATCTCCCCCATGCTGTCGTCTCGTTGCTTAAAATCTCGATAAAGCTCTTGTTTGATGACACAAGTTTGGTGTATGTGAAGTTGAATGAGTGGATGGGAATGCACGCGGCTGAGAGGAGGATGAACATGTAGTTATCGGGGTCGTCGAGGAGCGCGTGGGACAGCAATCTACGCGCTGCGGTAATGAGTGTTGGAGTGTTCCGGCGCGTGGGCTTGGATGACGGTATCACGCGCCCTGAGAAGACCCCGGTAAATGGAGGGTCGTATCGGGAGTTTGGGTCTGCGTGTATGTATATGTTGTACTTGCTTTTATTAGTATTAGTACTCCCTGCGCCACTCTGGTTAAAGTAGAACTCCCAGAGTGGCGCAAATGGGAGTGGACTGACAGTCAAAAATAAAAATGCCACCTTTTTTAGGTGGCCTTTGGTCAGGTTCGGGCTAACCTTTGATGCTTGTTTAAGGAGGTCCACATCCTCCTTGTCATCCTCGGGAAGCGATGGTGGTGGCGGTGAAAGTTGTTTGATAATAGGTGGTTTAGAAGTTGTTTTATTTGTAGGAGTAGTGGTGTTTTCTTTTTTTGTTGGGATTTTTGGGGGTACAATGGGCCTAGGTTGTGGCGGTGGTGGTGATGGTATCGTTGGTGGAGGAGGAGGAGGTGATAACAGTGGTGGAAGCGGCGGTGGCGATGGTGTTACAAGGTTGTAACTAACAATATTAGTAACAATATAGGAGGGATTGGAGGAAATGGTGAACACAAGGGCAAGAGGGAAGCAAAGGAGGACGGCACAAAAGAGAGAAAGGGGGTTAGGGGAAAGCATTTCCCTTCACTAGCTACCATAATCATGTTACCATACTTGTTTGAGAATAACTAAAGATTGTTACAATATAAAAGCAAGAATTAATAATATATAACTTGAAAGTTAGTATAAAGTGATTAAAAAATACACACTCTATATTATTCTATAATTGTATTCTTCTAGAATTATACTTGTTCTAAAAATAGATTATTTTTAGAATCTTATAAATCGGTCCATTTTTATAATAGAAGACAAATTGGGATTAGGAGGGTTATTAAGCAATAATAATTACTCAAAATAAGGTATTTGTTTGCTAATTCAACTAACCTTAAACTCTTAAAGTTGCATGAATTTATGACCGTTTGATGCATGCGTGATCATGCTAAGAGGTTACTTCTCTACCGTGGATGGGGAAAAGGTGGGACACGTGGCTTCCATGCACAAAATCATACATTTTGGGCGGGAGTGATGTTGATCACGTGAGGGGTCACATTGTTTATGTTAACTTAAGGTTATGAAATGCGTGATTTTAATATTTGTGTTATAGATTATGATATGATGTATGATTCTTGTAAATTGTTAAACTAATAGCTTGAAGTTGGAGCAAAGACAATATGACAGACTTTGCGGCTTCCTCAATTCTCTCATTTTGTCTTGAATTAAAGTAATCAAGTCTTTAATTTTCCCCCTAATTTCATGCATGCATTTTCATATTATGAAGTTATGTTTAAAATCATTGTTTTTATGTTTAGGATGTGTTTTCTTCATTTTAAGTTCACATCTACGTTAACTGGTTTATGTTGCTCTCGTGAGTCGTCTTCGTCAAACATGTGGAATTTATTTGTGCCTTATTTATCTAGCCTATCTTATATATTGTCTCCATATTTTTTTTATGCGTTAGAGAATTTTGAACTTAAGAATCCTAGTTATCAAAATCAAATATGTGATTTATATTTATGATAATATAAAATTACGTGGGATCTTGTTTGATTCATCTCGATGTATATTTTAATAATAAATTAAATTAACTTTCTGTAATTTTAATTTATTGATAATCAAAGAACAAATATTAGTCGTTGAACTTGTGCGTTGACAAATGTAATAAAAAAAAAGGGGGCCTACTAAAAAAGAACAGAGTAAATATGAATAATTATACTTCACATGAAGCTAAAAGCGTGTATAGTATATATTATGTAGATAACAGTCCATGAACTCGAAATTATAGGAATTAGTGGATTACCCAAGTACTCGTAACTTTTTTTTGGCATAAATTTTATCATGCATGTTAAATTTTACATTTAGTATGACTTAATATAGAGAAAAACAAGGACGCTTAGTTAGATTTATATGACTCATAATCTAATACGGAGTAGACTAATAAAATGTTAAAGTTAAAACAATACAAATAAAAAATATCAGGATGGCCTTGTTTGGTAAGTCTAGGAAATTGGAATGAAGAATTTGAAATTTTCGGAGGTATGGAGTACTCTTCAAGGTTCCCATTCCACTAGAAATTTATGGGTTGACATTTTACATTGATTACATTTAAGGTGTAAAAAAATTAACATAAAAATTTGAAGTTTTAAACTTTTAATCGTTCTCTTGCAAACCCCAGTTGAGAGATTTGGGCTAGCCCACTCAAGTATTGTGCACTTATCACATGCTATTCTTTGAGTTATGTAAAATGGGCCGGGTAAGTTCAGAATTAATACTATACGTGGCAATAAATTTCTAACCCAAATTTTCCATTGCAATCCAATCAAACATATACTGTGCACCAAAAAGTTACTTCTTGACAAGTATTGGAATCTAATAAGTTTCATTTTCATTATCGGCTTTATGAGGTGGGAATTATCTAATCATTCTTGCTGATTGCAAAGGATGCTAGTTTAATAAGATCACTTTTCCTCGCTTACCTAAAATCATCCTTTTTTTGTGGGGTCGTTTTTATCAAAGTACTAACTTGGTGTCATTGAAGTCACACCAAATATATAATTATTAGGTATTAATTTTCATTTTCGTCATTAGTGGTAGAAATCAACAGATCAATTTTAACACAATCATTTGAACCCCCATGAAATTAACTACAAAGAGTACATTAAGGATGACAAAAACTTTATATTACTCCATTTGATTATTTTTGTTCTTCCTATTTTGACTAATTTTACCTCATAAAGTATATTCAAATAAAAAAAAGAACAAAAAAGATTGAAAGATGCAATTCAAAACATATCAAATAAGTCCACTTTCACTCAACTTCTTATCTCCCATGAGGACTTGAATTGAAGGTTAAAAACATACACATGCTACTACTAAGTATTCAGAAAATAAATACTCCGTATCTTAAAGAGTTTGACCGAATTGGTTCAGATTATAAATCAGTTCCCTTATTAAATAATGTCCTTTCTTTTTAAATTTAGGCTTTCGTACTAAAAAAATTCTTCTAAAAATCATTAAATTGGACCTAGGACTCTAGAAGTAGTGAGCTAGTTGACTAATAATTTGACAAAGTGATAATTCAAAACTATAGAAAAATAATTATTGAAGAGATAGACTTTAGTATTCCCTTTATTTTTATTCAAGTGTCTTAGTTTGACTCGGTATGATGCATGTATATAACTTTTGACTAATTATATCTTTAATCATCCATTAGCATAAATTATAAAAAGTTACAATATTATAAAACTATATATTAAAACGATTTCAATAAGTAATCACATGACTTTTTTTTTTAAATAAATTTAAATCACTAATATTAGTTAAAGTTGATTATGTAATGCGGAGAAGTACAAAAGGTCAACATGAGACACTTAATAAAAATGAAGGGTTATTTGTAGTACTTCCTCTGTTTCTATTTTTTGCTCCATTTGACTTTTTACGTTCTCTAAGACACGTGTTAAAATGTACTTATATATCTTCATTTCCATACACGTAAAAATAATAAAAACATGATATCAATAAAATATATAATGAAGACGAATTTATCAAAATCTCGCATAAATATATTAGAACTTAACGGTAATTATTGGTCAAAGTTAGACAAAAAAAAAATAACAATGGAGTAGTAATAAACGTACGGAGGGAGTAAATGATAATAACCTTAGGCTGGGGTTAGCTCCTACAAAGAAGGCCCAAGTGCCGGAAAACCGACAATGACAAGAGCAAAGTTGATGGGAAAATGGGCGGCCCACCATTCCAAAATATGGGTTTCATTTGAGAAAGTCGGGTGGGTCTAAACTGCCTTTGGGTTTGGGGGAAGCAGGCATGTGGCTTTGTGGGGGACACACCCAACTCTCCCAATCAAATTACTCCTTATTCTTCTTCTTACTTTGAATTATTGACAAAGTGAATGCACATAAAATTAAAGTTTGAAAATTTTTGGACCTCTCAGTATAATAATCCTTGGCTTGATACATCCCTCTCCTTTTCTTTTTTATCATGTCACTATTACTTTTTCTCTTTCTCTATATATATTTGGATAATCGTTGGTTGGTACACCTAGGCGTATCATGTGCATGGTACATCCGAATTAAAACTAGTTTTAAAAAAAAGCGGAAAGAATATAACATATATTTGTAATGAATATCACGACTTTATAAAATAAAACACCATTGAAATATAAAGAACGTGATAATTTTGGTGAAACAGGTTTTAAAAAAAGTAAAAGATAATTACCAATTGATTTTTACCACGTATTTAATGTCAAATTATTTCAAAATATTCAGTTTTCTATAATTTCTCTCTCTGAAATTATTTTTATCAAGATTTCATTTTCAAAATTTCAATTCCAATATTTTTTATTCTGTTCTCTTTCTTTTTAAAAAAAATTCTCTAAATAATCAATTTTATATTTTTATATTTTGTTATAAAATTCATCTTGTTCATGTGTATCTATTATGATGTTCATTATATGATTTATAAATGTCCATATTCTTTTATTATAATTTTAATGTACCTTTATTGTCACATAATGTTCATTACTTATTGTGAAATGTTTTCTGAATTATGTTTTAACATGTTGGGTAAATAATATAAATAATGTTCTTTAAATAATATTATCATGTTCTTTATTAATATAGCGAATGTTCTTTAGATCTGTCGGAAAATCAATCATCAATAGAAGAGGTCCCAAAAGTATGTCGTTTTCATCAACCTTTATGATCCTGATTTCAAAAAATATACATATCACAATTAGATGATTTTTTTTTTAAAAAAAATACGCAATTAGATGAACATAGTTTGTAACGTAAAGAACACATAGTTTAAATCCAAAGAACATATTTTGTGACTATAATGAACATATAGTTTAGACCCAAAGAGCATATAAATTAAACTCAATGAACATATTCATTCCAATGAATATGGATTAAAAAAATTGATAAAAGAACATTTATCCTAATCCAAATGAACTTCATCTTCAACCTCCGAAAATAACACAAATTAAAAATTAAAAAATTAAAAAAAAAACTAAAATAATCAAAAAAAAATTACATTTTCTTTCAGTGATGAATTCATTAACAATGATCCATGAACAAATATAATAATCTAAAAACATCATCATCAACAACAAAATGAAATATAAATTGAAAAAAATAATTAAAAACTACCTTCTCATTTGGTGACAAAATCTAAAATTAAATATCAATTGTCAAAAATATTAATCTGTTGATCATCAAGTGCAAATCGACAATCATAGATCGTGACGAAATTGACCATGAGCCATTATTTTCTCTCTAAAAAATATATTTCTTTCTCTTGAAATTTTATTTTCTCTATAAAAAATTCTCTATTTTTTCAAAAGCTGATTATGAACAATTATGGATATGAAAGCTATAATTATGGAAAGAAAATAACAAAAATCCTTCAATTAAGGAGCATAAATTTAGGAAGCTGACTTTTATTTTTTTGAATGATAATTTTCATTCAAGTGTACCATGGGCATGGTACACCCTGGTGTACAATATAAATTTCAATGTTTGGATTGGTACTATACAAATCAGTCTGAATCGGTTTGACCTCTCTCATAATTACAGTCCTTTGTAAGTTGTAATATCTTACACACATGCGGTAGAAAATGATTCCTTAGTTTGATACAAGCGTATGTAGTTTAGATTGATATAATCTTAATTTTTTTTCGATTTTAATCTCTTTCATAGCATGTGTTATTTTGAGAGACATATTTATCTTAGGTTTCACGAGATTTGACATAACCTCACATTTTTTTAT